GGCGGACGGCCAATTGCCAAAAGTCTCTTCTTTTCCTGCATTTAGCCCTCCCCACCCCCACTCTCCTCAGCCTGTCCCACCAAGGCTCTGGGAGTCCCCTTGGAACCCAAATGACACTCTCCCCTCCCCCGCTCCCTCGGTATTTGCCCTTTTGGAAGCCGCGGGCGTAGTGCATGAAGACTGTTAGCCTATCTTGAGGACGCCCTGGCCCCCTCGAACCTCTGGGGGAAAGCGAGGGGAAGGGGGAGAGGGAGGGTGATCGGTGCCGCTGCAAAAGGATGAGTACCGAGGAGGAGGGAACGGGGGAGGCTTCTGGGGCCGTGGATCGGAACCCAGGAGTGTCGAGAATGTTTGCCCTCCCAGCCAGCCCCCAGTGGAGAGAGTTCTCCTTGTCGGTGCTGTCTCTGTGCGCGTTCTGGTGCCCGAGCCCACTCCGCAGCTGGGTGCGACTCTCCCTCCCGGCTCGATCCGGCCGCCCGCTGTCCCACCGCAAGCTTGGCCTTCTTCAGGCAGCCTGGCTCCGAGGGCCAACGTTCCAGCCATGGTAGTTAAGGGGTGTGAGCCAATGAGGTGGTGCCGGCAGGCAGCACTTTGGAACCAGTGGCACCCCATTATTCTGAAGCAATTTGTGGATATGAAAACCATGTTTCTGATACTGCAGCCAAATCATCCTTTGCTTCTATCAGCTTTCCCCAAATCTCACATAGTGATGGTAGTCAGAAAATTACAGCTTTTACTGTGTCCACTCTTACTGGGAGTAATTTTAACAAATTCTTCCAGGATAGATTAACTTTTAGCAGATAAATCAAACCCAGTATTTTATTTATTTATTTATTTATTTATTTATTTTTGCTTTGTAAAATCGAGGTGGCAGCTTTGCACAGAAGAAGTTTAAGATTTTGACTGCCCCAAGATGGTTCCTTATAAAATCTTGGCTGGATTTTTGCTCACTACCAAGGTCCTATGCCTGACCTCTACAGTGTGAATATTGATTTGTTTTTCTTAGCAAATTCTCTACAGCTTTTCTAATAGCTCATCAAATCAACAAAGCTCATAGACATTTGTTGACCATGTACATGTTTTTACAAAACAAAACATATCAAAAAATGTAAACATGTTTTTACAATCTTAAGAAAAACATGTTTCTACAATCATAAGAGATATGTGTAAGTACTATTGAGATCTGTTCTCCAGCTGGAGTACAGTCCGTTTGTACAGAGAGTATCAGGATTGAAACAAACATCCAAGTTTATCTGGTGCAAACACCAGACCTATGCTTGAGTCTTCTCTCTGACTCTTCTACTAAGTGGTCATCCAGCCTTGTGGAATATTTCCTGAGGAAGCCTGTTATGTAATGTTTGCTAACTGGTCTCTTAGAAGAGTCCTCCTTGTGCTGAACTGAAATCTACCTCCCTGAAACTTTTTTTTGGGGGGGTGAGGAAGGTAGGTAATTAGGTTTATTTACTTTAATGGAGGTACTGGGGATTGAACCCAGGACCTCAGGCACGCTAGTGCACACTACCACTGAGCCACACCATCCCCCCACCTTCCTGAAACTTTCACCCAGTGGTTCCAGCTCTCCCCTCTGGGCCCACACAGCTAAATCAGATTCCTCTCCCTTAAGACAATGCTTTATCCATTTACAGAGATGGCTTTATGTCCCTTTGAATCTTCCCTTCTCTGGGTTAAACTTAGCTACTTCCCACAGTGTGACAGTGCCTAGACTCCTCAGCAGCCTTGTAGCCTTCCTCTGGATGCAACCCAGTTTCCCAGTGGCCACCCACCCCCACCAAAGTTTGTTTCCAGAAGGCGACTCTACGTTCACTCTGTGGGTTCTGACCAGCATATAACAGGACTGGCATGTCCTATATTTTAAATAATTTGCTTCTATTAATGCAACTTAAGAAAACAAATGGGGGTGGGGTGGGGGAGAGGGTATAACTTAGTGGTAGAGTGCCTTAGCATGCACGAAGGCCTGGGTTCAATCTCCAGTACCTCCATTAAAAAAAAAGAAGACAAGCACTTGGAGGGCAGGTGCAGCACGCCGTTTTGTTAGCTTTCCACTTTATCCCATGTATTAGTTGCTAGGGCTGCCACAACAAAACATCACACACTGGATGGCTTAAACCACAGAGATTTATTTCCTCATAGCTCTGGAGGCCAAAAGTCTGAGATTAAGGTGTCAGTAGGTTTGGTTTCTTCTAAGGCCTCTCTCCTTGGCTTGCAAATGGCCACCATCTTGCTGTGGCCTTATATGATCATCCCTCTGTGTGTGCAAGTGTCCGGTGTACATCTCTCTCTCTGTGTCCTAATCCCCCTTTTTTATAAGGACACTGGATATATTGGATTAGGGACAACCCTAAAACCTCATTTTAACTTTATTGCCTCTCTAAAGGCCCTGTCTTGAAATACAGTCACATTTTGAGGTACTAGAGGTTGGGGGGACACAATTCAGACTGTAACATCGCACAACAAAAATAAAATGCCAACATTATACTCATTTTACAGGCAAGACTGATGACGACAAAAATGTTCAATCCACCTACTCAAGAACACCCAGCCAATAATGGCCTCAGATTTAAATCTAAAGCAGTTTGCTTCCATCCTAATAGTCTACCCACCATTCCACAGTTACAGCTATGAAGGCCTTCCACCTCAAGGCTTGTACACAAGTTATCCTGAATATAATATGATATATATTTTTCTCAAGAATAAGGGTAGAAAGAATGCAGGAGAGAGCAGGACTTACTGCCTGCTAAATGAGAAAAAAAACTTATTTAATCTCTCTTCCTCTCTCATATAGGAGTCGAGGCCAAAACCAACACCAGTAGGGAAAGGTTCTGAAACAAAGTCCTGGAGTCTCCCTCCCAAACACAGGAGAGCTTGAGGGGCATTTTTGGGCTGATTAAAGACTCCACCCTTCTCTCTCTATCCTCCATGAATGATGTTACTCACTGTTTTCATTCATTCTCCCCTCCCATCCTCCATCCTCTCCCTGCCCACCCCCACCTTGCACTAGGATATTTTTTTCATAACTTATTGAACCTTTTTCTTCATGGCATAGACTTTGATTTCATTTTCAGTGGATAATAATATTTCATTCCACAAACATTAATTGAGCACCTGCTATGAACTGGGCACTGTACTAGGTGCTGGGGATGCAATAGTGAACAAAGGCACGCAAAAATATCCCTGCCCTGTAAGAATTCACATTCTAGTTGAGGAAACCAGATGATAAACAAAAGAAGAAAATATTGAGCGTGTCAGATGGTGTTAAGTGCTAGGCAGAATAATAAATCAGGGGGTGGGTAGAGGAGATGTGTAGGTTAGAGACTAGGTGGAGTCATTATAACAAAGTGACTCAAATAGTCAGTAACTTAAATAGAAGTTTATTTCTCTTGCATGCCAAGGTCTTACTATTCTAGGTGAGTGGGGCATCTCTGCTCCACAAAGTCATTCAGGGACCCAGATTCCTTCTATCTCATTATTCCACCATCTTCTAAGATACTGTCTTCATGTGTGTGGCTGTAGCTGGGTGACTGATGTGTCTGGGGTCCAGCCTGAGAGAAAGGGTTAAAGAAAGGGAGTCTAAGCCAAGCAATTTCCTTTCAGGCAAATGAGACAGGAGTTACATAAAAATAAGCTTTCTTATCTACCATTATTGAGAACCTAGTCACATGACCATACCTAGCTGCAAGGGAAGCTGGGAAATTTAGTCTTTATTGGACCACCAGGTGACCAAAAGGAAGAAGACAGTGGATTAAAAGGGGGCAGGGGAACCTGGCAGTCTATCACACGTACTGGGCAAAGATAGAGGTTGTAATTTTTTGATAAAATAGACAGAGAAGCCCTCATCAGGAAGGTGATATTTAAGTAAAACCTGAAGAAGGTGAAGAACTGAGCCATGCAGTTTTCTAAGAAACCATTTCCAGGCAGAGAAGGGAACAGCTGCAAAGTCCCCGAGGCAGGAGCATGCCTGTCATACACAGGAAACAGGAAGGACATCTGTGAGCCTGGAGTGAGTGAGTGATGGAGCTGAGGTAGGAGAGGCCTCCTACTGAGGTGGACCTTAGAGGCCTTGGCAGTGATCTGTTTTCTTCACTTACAGTAAGAAGAGAAGCCATTGGAGGTTTGCGAGCAGAGAAGGGACATGATGGGACTTGAACAGAAAGTGATGAAAAGGATTGACGTCCAGCATTGAATCAACCACACTCCACCACTCTGAGCTCTACAGCCCTTCCTTCCTCCCTCCAGAGCACCTCTCACTCAGCTCCTATGCTCCTGAGCCCGAGAATGCCAGCTTCGAGCCTACTCAACCCTCAGTGTCCACATATCACCTCCATGAAGCACCTCTCACACCCCACACCTTTTCATTCATCCCAACATGCTTGCATATAGCACACACTCTGTTATTGTGAGCTGCTTGGCTGCCCGTGCCTCTGAGTAGATTGTGAATCCTCTGGGGGCAAGAACAGTGTTTCTCTACTTGGTCCACCCTTGGCTGGGCACAGAGCCTCTAACATAGGAGAGGAATCAAGAATTATTTTCTGAATTAATTGATTAACAGCAGAAGGAAAGGAGACCATCCCACCAATCTCTCCCTGACATTGAAAACTAGACTGAACCCAGTAGATCTTCTTCTCTCTTCTCTGGGTTTCCTCAATGCTGCTCATCCAGGAAAACATATGAACAACCACAACCCATTTAATGAGCTTGGAACATGCTAGAACGTGAGCTTGGCATTGCACTAGATGCTGGGTTTGAGTGCAGATCCAGAATTGTTAAGGCATCTGATCCATTCATCACCTCTGCCCTGGACAGATTACACACTCAGTTAGAAGACAC